CAAAACAGTTTTCTCCTGGACTTACCCTGTTGGAGTATAGGACTATCGATTAATATTCTTTTACAAGAGATGTTTTGATATCACAGTCTTACTCAGCCCCTTTTTGAAAGGTTTAGCCAGCACAGGAAGATCTGTAGTGATATGCCCAAGAAAAATGAAAATATATTCACACAAAAACTTGTACACAGATGTTCACAGAGGCATTAACTATAAAGGCTGAATAATCCAAATATCCATCAACTGATGACTAGATAAATAAAATTTCTATATCTATACAATGAAGTATTATTCAGCCATAAAAGGAATGAAGTACTGACACACGCTACAGCATGAACATTGAAAATATGTTAAGTGTCAGAGTTCTCCAGAGAAATAAACAATAAGTTTTATTTTAGGAAGTTGGCTCAGGAAGTCTGAAATTTGTAGGATAAACCTAGAGACTGAGAACTCAGGCAAGAAGAAATACTGTAGTCTTGAGATAGAATTCCTTCTTTGATAAATCAGTTTTCCTTTTAAAGCCTTTAATTGTTCTTAAGGCCTTCAATCAGGGCCTCCCTGGTGGTCTAGGGGTTAAGTCCCAGTGCTATCACCACTAAGGTCTGATTTCCATCCCCAACCACAGAGCTAAACCAATGCCGTGCAGGAGACCTGTCTCACCTGCTGCTCACTCCCCTTAGCTGTGCATTCCAGTAAGTCCTCCTGTTCTGCTGCCCCACTCTGTATCTGGTGAATCCTCTCACACACACTACACCCCACATGTACCTCTGGCCTACCCATACTCTCTGGTGTAAAATTTTCTACCAAAAAAAAATGTGTGTGTGTGTGTATGTGTAAAAGGCCTCCAATATATTATGAAGGGTAATCTCCTTTACCTAAAGTCAGTTGGTTGTAGATGTTAACCACATCTGCAAAATACCTTTGTCGTAACAACTATTGGATAGTTGGTGTTTACTTGAGTAGCTAGATACCATAGCCTATAAAATTGATCATCACAGTCACATATTCTGTGATTTCAGATTTTTCCAAGTTTTATTTGAGCAAAACAAATTTTTAGAAAAGTTTGTACTAACAAAAGAATGAATTAAATCATCATCTTTTAAATTAACTCACAGATTTATAAGAAAATTTACTTCTATATTATTTACATAATTGTCATTTTTGAAAATGTAGGTATATTCTGTTTTTTCTCAAATAATTACGATGCCCTTGCTAAATTATTTAATGGTCATAGAAACTAAACATTCTCAATTTTAGTTAAACCGGAGGAATAATTATTTTTCTGTTGAAGGATGTTAGGAATCTCCAAAAGATGTTAGCATTGTCCAAAAGATATTCTGTTGGCCTTTGAAAATGTCTATTTTTAACTTAATAGTAGAATCAAATGAAAATTGACATCGGAGTTTCTAAATAAAAAGTTACATATTTTGTATAATATGGTCTGTAGATTTTTACTTTATGATAAATGTCACTATGTCATGGTATGCTAGGCATATAATTTTATTTATATAATGTCTAGAATTGACATATTCATAGTGACACAAAATAGTTTAATGGTTGCCAGGGAATGAAAGGAGAAGGGAATGGGAATGTCTAAAGAGGATAAGGGATTTAAAATGTTCTGGAATCAAATTGTGGAAATGGTTGCATAACTCTATGAAAAACCAGTGAATTGTACACATGGGTGAATTTTATAGTGTGTGAATTATATCTCAAGAACAATGTTAAAAGATCATCTGTGGAGATTCAAGTATTCCCCCTTCCTGCCCCCATCTAGGTTTTATGACTTAAATTTTGCCTTAGAGAATCTTTTAATATTCTCCTAATATCTGCTTTTGAGTGCTATGGAAGATGCAGGCAACTATTAATTAATACTTAGTTCATGTCAATGAATAAGATTGATTCATCAAATAGGACCTCAAACTACTTAAATGTTTCCTAGCAGACTCATGAAATACACATTTTGTGAATTTACTGAATTTCTTTTCATATGGAAAGAACAAAAGTACTACAGAGTTGTTGGGTTAAATGTGAGGCTAATTTTCATAAGAATCCTTAAGGATTGGGGCCTCCCTGGTGGCGCAGGCAGGCAGTTGAGCACAGCGCTGTGAAGCTGTGAAGTTGTCCTCAGCCTCTGTAGTCCTCAGCCTCTGTAGTGCCGATTCGATTCGATCCCTGCCAGCTTCCGAGCAACCCACTTGGCGAGCAGACCTCTCCTGTCTTGCTCGCTGCTCCCCTCAGCAGTGTATTTCATCAGTCTGCCTGTTCTGCTCCTCGCTCTGTCTCTGGTGAATCCTCTCACCCTCCCGCACATCTGGCCTGTACCCCGGTTCTTAAGGATTAGAGGTGTTTTTAAAATCCTGAAATTGAAATTGGCATGGAATTGATGGAAATGATGTACAAATGGGTGAAAAAAGCTAGAAATAATTTTGTAATTCTCTTTAGAGGGAATCCGAGTTACTGAACCCCCCTCTTGTTTCTTGCTTGTGTTTTACTTTTTCTTTATGTTCCTTAGTGTTTCCTATAGTATTGCACATAAAGCTTGGGCTAGTCCATAATTTTAGGTGATGCACAAATGTATTTTATTCTGATTTTTTTAAATAGTTCTATATTGGTCTGATCTGGAAAATACAGCCTTTTGGGCTAGTCATTTCATCGATATTATTGCTTGAGTTAAAGCTATAATGATAGATTATAGTCTTAGGTCTATTTTCTTCAATAAGTAAATAATACACATGGCATACTAAAAGGGCGAAATTATGAAGTAGGCATGTGAATGACTGAGTCTTACCATTAGAGCATTAGACTCTGCCCTGTTGGCAATGTCATTTTCCCTCTAGGCACCTGTATTCAGGTAAGAGTAGCTTTTCTGCTAGTCATATAGCCCATCACCTATCTATTGATGCCCCAGGTTAGGAAAATAGGTTTCTGTCCTAAAGTCAAATTAGGAAGTGCTCATTGCTGTAACAGCTAGCTAATAAACCAACCCTGTTTTAAATTATTAGCACTAACGTGTATGTTGGCATTTTTCTGGGGGAAATCCTGTTTCAACTTTGATTCGACAAGATCTGGACTCTAGTTGTCAGGGACAGGAAATTAAGTCTTGCCAACAAAACCCCACCCTTCCTTTTCCAAGTTACTGATAACATGGAGTAGAGTTAGTCTGTGCCTCTGCTTATGAAAGGCTATCTGTCTTATACACCATGAATTGTATTCATGGTGGCCCTTCCATTGTGGAATATTGTAATATTCTCCTAGTATTTGCCTTCAAATGCATAAGACCTGTGTTTAAGTTGTGAACTAGAACAATTCTATACATCTAGTTAGGCACACATTATTACTACTTTTTCTCCTTATTCTCCCTTCCCCTCGTTTTCTCCTTGTAATATTGGGCCCCAATCATTATGGAAAGGGAGTACAACTAAATATACAAAGATAGGGACTTCAAAAGGATCTCATTGTGAGTCAGCTAAAGTGACTAGGAGACAAATGTAGATGCTGCCTTTGGGATTTCTCTGTCAGGGATGTGTCAGGACTCGGCATTGCTATCATGCAGGATTTTCAGGTTTGATTAGGGCCTTGCCCAGCTGTTTTGTTGGTAGACTTGGTCAGAACATCCAGCCTGTTTCAAGATGTCTTGTATTTGACAGTTGTTTAGTAAGCATGAATCCCTTGGCTTTCCTCCAGAAATTTCAAACACATTTTGGGATTCACTTTTTTGATTTCTGAGTAGGTTAGTTTGTTCTCAGAAGTTAGTGTTTGTAGCTTAGTTTGTTCTCAGAAGTTAGTGTTTCTTTTTTTTTTTTAACTAGCACAGCAATAGGTTCAGTGGGTAAGACTGTCATCTGCCTAACAAGATGAAAGGGAGTACTTTAAAAATCTTATTTCCCAGTACATAAATTTAATGAATTTAACTTACGTTCTTATTAGAGATGAATCACCCTGGTCAGAGTGGTAAGTTCTGTTTATCATAGTTCTCTAATGATACTGACAAAATGGAAATATTTTTCCTTTCATAGTTCAAATTAACATTATTCTAGTTTTAATCATCTCCTGATACAGCTACATAAAAAGCAAAAGCCCAGAGAAATACCATCTGTGCTACTTTTGGTATGATATGGAAACCTGTTTAAAAGAGTTTTGTGTGGCAAGTTAGTATTTAATGAACATAGAGCTACCATTAAAAGATACAGAAAATTAAGCTCTTCTCACTGCTTAGATTTATTTAAAAACACTTTTTAGCTATGATTTGCCCTAAACTTTGCCTGTTATGGTCAAGTGAAAATCTCAGTGTTTTTGTTGTAAGCAAAATGACTTATCTACCTATAAGTTCCTACTAGAAAATCATCAGGAATGGGGTACTCGGGAGAGAAAACAATTGTGGATAGTTGTTTTTTCTGTTTGTTTGAAAAATTCAACTTTGAATTGCTTAGTTCTGAGGAAAACTCATTTTTGATCAGTTTGTAAAAATCTATTCTAAATGATTTCTTTAGTCACCCAGTCCAAGTATCTTTTTGGAAAAATAGCCTGAAAATAGTGCCTCTTGGTTCATTTAAGCATTATTTAGAACGTTTGCACCTAAAAATACTAATGCATAATAATATTTAGCCTAAAACTGTATAACTAAATTTTAATGTGGGTTGTATGATCTCTAGTCAGGATTGGTTTTTCAGTCAGCATTTAAACTTCTTTTTGCTTGGCACAGTGCCTTACACCTAGTAGGAAATGTTTTTAAAGTTGGATTGTTTACAATTTTCATTCTGTTTTTATTTTTAGAAAAGGTACAGTTTGGCAGTGGGGCCTCCCAAAAAAGACCCAAAAGTTAAGGGTGTCCGATCTGCAGCTGTACAAGCTTTTCTCAGAAGAAAAGAAGAGGAGCTCAGAAAAAAAGGTATGTAGCTATAGCTTTATTCTCAGTTTCAAGGTTTTCTTCCTTCACAACTTAGTTGTAATTAACGAGTGGATCTTTGTAAGAACAAAACAGGCTAATGAATTCGTTGTGCCTGAATGTTCTGTACCATTATTTATAGCATTGTGTTGGGGTCAGAGTTTAGGGGCTGGACTCTTAACAGTCCTACAGATCTTTTCTCAGTGAGGAAAGAATTCAACATGGAGACTAGAGTTAGGCAGAAAGGCAGGAGATTTATTGTCAGATAAGAAGGGCAGGAGGGCCTCCCTGGTGGCACAAGGGGTTAAGCACCGCACTATGAAGCAGTCTGCAACCACTGCAGCATGGGATCGATCCCCGGCCAGGGAGGTGACCCACTTGGCGCGGCAGACCTCTCCTTGTCTCGCCCGCTGCTCCCTTCAGCAGTGTGTTTCAGTCAGTCTGCCTGTTCTGCTCCCCACTCTGTTGTCTCTAGTGGATCCTCTCACCCCCTGCACCTCTGGCCTATACCCCAGCTCTTATATGCATAAATAAATCTTTTTTTAAAAAATTTTAAGAAAAAGGACAGGAAAGCTCTCTGAGCAGAGAGGGCCCCCTAGGGTGTTGCCAGTGAGGGGGCAAGTAGCAGGAGTCTATATGGATATGGTGGGCAAGGAGTGAGGGTTTGGACATTGGGTGTCTCAGCATTGTGTCTCATAGATTGGTTTAAGTCTCCCAGGTTACTTGATCTGTTTTCCTGGAACCAGCTTTGATCTGTTGCTTCGACATTGTATGTTTTCTGAACACTCAGTTTTTTGCTGAGTCAGGGCACCCTGACCCTACCTGACTGCCTGATCTCAGCCTAACTTCCTTATTCAGCATTACACTAGTTCTTCTAGTATAATGTGTTCTTATGTTGATCATTTGTGTGTATGTTATCTTTTATTAGCAGTGCTGTCTTAATGAGCCTCCCCTGGTGGCGCAGCGTTGAGCACTGGGCTGCGAAGCTGCCCGCAGCCTCTGCAGCACCGGTTAGCCCCAGCCGCCAGCAAGGGTCCCACATGGTGCGCAGACCTCTCCTGCCGCGCCCACTGCTCCCCTCAACAGTGTATTTCGTCAGTCTGCCTGCTCTGCTCCCTGCTCTGTCTCTGGTGAATTCTCTCACCCTCCCGCGCTTCTGACTACCCAGTGCTTGTATAAATAAATAAATAAATCTCTTAAAAAAAAAAGTTAGACTAGGAACAGTTTATGAAAATCAGTAAACTCAAGTAGTTTAATACATGCAAACGACAAGGAAGCATTCAATAAATTTAAGTATTGATTGACTCAACAGTTGCGCTAATTGGGTATTAGTGGTACTTTAGCATCATATATTTGGTATTTTCTATATTTAAAAGTGAAAAACAAGCCCCTTACTTGATTAGTCATATAGAAAAACACATGTGACCCACTCATTGTGTAAAGGTGACTCAATTGATACTTGTTCAAATGACTTCCTCATTTGATTCCTAGATGTCTTTGAACTGTGCTTGAATGTTACTTGTATTGAGACATCTATTGACTACAGGTGAACATGCTGTTATTTTGAGACCTTGGATAATATGTTCTTATTTCTCCCTTTTAGCCTTAGAGGAGAAAAGGAGAAAAGAAGAACTAGTGAAAAAGCGAATTGAGCTGAAACATGACAAAAAAGCAAGAGCTATGGCCAAGAGGACAAAGGATAATTTCCATGGTTACAATGGGATTCCTGTTGAAGAAAAATCAAAGAAGAGGCAGACATTGGAAACCCACACTAGCCAGAGAGCAGACCAGGAGTATGAGATGGACGAAGAGGATGAATTCTTAGAATACAATCAAGCAGAGTTAGAGCAGGAGTATGAGGAAGAACAAGAACCTCCCAAAGTTGAAAGCAAACCAAAGGTCCCCCTTAAAAGTGCCCCACCACTCATGAACTTCACTGACCTCCTCAGGCTGGCTGAGAAAAAGCAATACGAACCAGTGGAGATTAAGGTAGTGAAGAAAACGGAAGAGCGGCCTATGACTGCCGAAGAACTTAGGGAGCGAGAATTCCTTGAGCGAAAGCATAGGAAAAAGAAAGCTGAGACAGATATAAGACTACCTCCAACTAAAAAGGCACCCCCTCAAAAAGAAAGTATGGGCACAAAACTTAGCAAAGGTTCTGGGGACAAGCATCCTTCTTCCAAGGGTACTCCCCTTCCTCATGCTGAGAAGAAATCCAGACCCAGCACAGCCAATGAAAAACACATAGGTTTATCTTCATCCAAATCCATGCCAGGAGAGAGGACCAAAACAGGACTTGGAATTACTCCCAACCCCCACTTCGTGAGGGCCATGACAGACCTGTTTTCAATGGGATTGGAAAGCCCCACTCCAGCACTTACTCACCAAGTGTCCCAAAGACTTCTGCTAAAGGGACTCAGAGATCTGCTACTGAGCACAAAACCAAAAAATCTCCTCATCCTAGCCTTTCCAAACCTGGGCCTATGGTCACCCCATACAATAAGACTAAGAGTCCAAGTGTCAGGCAGCCAGGCAGCAGCTCTAGCTCAGCCCCTGGGCGACCCAGCACTGGGACTGGTCGGCCCGTAGTCAATTCTGGCCCCGTGGTCAGGCGCCAGAATGGCACCTCCAGCTCAGGACCTGAGCGATCAATCAGTGGAACCAAGAGGCCAGCCAGTGACTTAAATCCCTCTGGACGGACAGTCGATGGTACAAGTGGCCCTGGACGACCTGCAAGCAGCTCAAGTGGCCCTGGGCGACCCATCAGTGGCTCAGGTGGTTCTGGCAGATCTGTGAGCAGCTCTGGTGGCCCTGGGCGGCCTGTGAGTCGTCCACATGACCTTCGTCGACCAGTGAGTGGCCCAGGCCCCCATGGGCAGTCACTTAGTGGCCCTGGGCGATCAGTAAGTGGCTCAGGTGCAGCTGGAAGAACTGTCAGTATTTCAGGCTCCCAAAGACCAGTGAGCAGCTTGGGACCTGGGCGAACAGTTAGTAGCTCAGGTCCCAGCTTGAAGCCCAAGTGCACTGTTGTCTCAGAAACAATTTCTTCTAAGAATATAATTAGCCGGCCCAGCAATGGACAGATGAATGGAATGAGACCTTCCTTATCTGGCTACAGATCTGCCCAAGGTAAAATTGCCCTTCACCCTAAGAATATATATTTGTCACTAAGAAATTGGAAAGAGTAGTTTTATATAACTAGAGACCCTGCTATAACTCTTCTATGTGCCCTTGAAAAACAATTTTATTGGAATAAAATTGTAAATCTGTATAGCATAATTTGACATCTAGCTATGCTACTTTGTATTCTCTACCAAAAGTCTGGTTCCCATCCACCACCGTGCAGTTGTCTCCTTTACCCAATCTGCCAACCCCCCAATTTCCCGCCCCTCCCCTCTGGTTTTGTGTTCCAATTTTGGAGAGTTGTTCGTTGCTTCGTCCCCTCCCTATTTGTAATATTCGGTTTTGTTCATTTCATGTTTCTTCAGTGCATTGTTCAAATGTATAAATATAATAAATTAAGGTATAATATAAAGTTCATTGTTTTAAAATCTGTATATACTACGTTATGATCACTACTAAAAGTCTGTTTTATATCCAACAACACACAATTGAAACCTTTTGCTATTTTTCTCCCTGCTTCCCTCAGCCCCTCCACATTGGCAAACATTCTATTGTCAGAATATAAAGATTTGTTTTTGCCTTTTGTTTGTATGTTTGCTTTATTTATCTTACACATGAGCGAAATCATACAGTATTTGTCTTTCTCTGATTTATTTCACTTAGCATAATAATCTGCTCTGGGCCCACCCAAAGTCAGACTCAGTTTGAATAATTATCCATAATTCTGAGACTTTCATATTTTGTTGGACTTTAAAGAAACACGTTGTTCCAAAGGGCAAGATTTTATCTTTTTTATGCCCTAGTAGTGTTCCTTTGGGTATAAATAGAACATCATCTTTATCCATTCATCTGTTATGTGCCCTTTAATGCACTTTTGCAGTGATAGAATACTGATGTTTTGTCTGTCTTGTGCCTGAGACTTCCCTTAATGATCCTGACTTGGAGGTCTTTAGAAAGTCGCTTATCTGTTCATCCCTTTAATATCTCCATGTGTAGTAAACTTAGCTATTTCATTTGTAAGACAAGGGGAGTTTATATGCTTTACATGGTTCAGTTCCTCTTAATTTTTTCATGAGGATTGGCAAAACCTGTGTTCAAGGATTAGAGTGTATTTATAAGCTCCAAGACTTTTGTTGCATTATTTACTCATATATTTGTTAAGTACCTACTATGTACCAGGAACTGTTTCAGTTTGCCCTTGACTTTCTGCTGCTTATAGTAGGCAACATCAAGGACCTGCTGCTGGTCCATTGGGAGTCTACTGTCCCAAAGTCCAGGATCATCGGTAGCACCTTCTAACTGCTAGGTCATAGCTTTTTCATGACAATAAGCATTTGTTAAAACACTTGTTAGGTACTATGAAGAATGTTAAAAAAAAATAAATAAATAAAAAAATAAAAATAAAAATCCATGGTATAAATGTCGTAAATCAGCCAGAACCTTGGTTCTCAACCGAGGCAGTTTTGACCCTTGGTGAACATCTCACAATATCTGGAAACATTTTTCAGTGGCATAACTAGGGAAGAGATATTACTGGCATCAGTAGAGAGGTAAGGGATGCTGCTAATATTACTACAATTCACAGGGCACCCTCCGCACAACGAAGACTTATCTGGCCAAAATGTCAGTAATGCTGATGTTGAGAAACTGAGTAAGGGGGCAAAATGTACATATTAAAAAAATAACTGTAGGGCCTCCCTGGTGGCTCAGGGGTTACAGGCAGCACTATCAATCTATCGCCAGCCATTGCAGCACAAGTTAGATCCCTGGCCAGCCAGGGAGCAACCCACATGGCACAGCAGACCTCTGCTGTCGTGCCCACTGCTCCCCTCAGCATTGTGTTTCAATGGATCTGCCTGTTCTGCTCCCCATTCTCTCTGGTGAATCCTCTCACCTACCTCGCGACTCTGGCCTGTACCCCAGTTCTTGAATGCATAAATAAATCTTAGGAAAAAAAAATAACTGTAGAACAACAAAGGGAATGTTTTTAATCAAGAACTAGAAAGCAGTTGTTCCAGATGCTTGTCTGTTGATTCATGCTTCTCTTTGCAAAGTTTTTAATCATTCTTTTAGCAGGATGACCAAAACAAGGATATTATAATGAGTTTTTCCTCAGTCAGACTCAGTTTGAATAATTATCCATAATTCTGAGACTCTTTCATACTTCGTTGGACTCTAAAGAAACAATGAAACTTGGTATAATGGTATATTGTTACCTTTGGTGTCTTGGTAAAATTTGAAAGCTTGTGATGTTATAGCTATTCATAATTTTTTAAAGACAATTATCCTGCAGAAGGATGAGAACTGCGAAACTAGAAAATAATAGACATTCCTAGTAAACCCTGAGATAATAGAAATTCTAATCCTTGTGAATACCATGAAGCAGCAGAGATGTTATAACAATGACTCCATCCTGTGGGCCAGCTTGCTTGCTCTGGTTTTGAGGACACCATCTAATGATTTCTCCAAATCTCCAAATACATAGGACTTTATTGGGACTGTTGAAAGTTTTAATGCTCTTATAAATAATGACTTTACTATTATTAGGTCCTCAAAGGCTTCCCTTCCCTATTGGTTACAAAAGGCATCGAGATTATGAAGATGAGGAGGAGGAGGAATATGATTCTGAAATGGAAGATTTCATTGAAGATGAAGGAGAACCTCAGGAAGAAATATCCAAGCACATTCGGGAAATCTTTGGTTATGACCGCAAAAAGTAAGGCTAAATAAGATTTAGGTAACATGATACACATTTTACTTTGAATAACTCATGCAAAGGAGGAGAAACATTAATAGTAAAGGCAGTGAATACAATTCTTAATTTAGGAACCTTGCATGATTGTTTAGAGGTATTCTTTTGGGACTTAATATATAAGAATTAGATCAGAATGTTAGTATAATTATTTGCATGAAGGCCAAAAATACTTTTAAATTGTCCTCCTTTTAAGACGTATATTTAATGATAGTAAAGCAGCTTAATGTAAAAGAATTAAATTGGTTTTGATATCAGAAAGCCATGTACAGGGCTGTATTGAAAGCTGGTCAGGTCTGACACCCGCTTTTTTTTTTTGGTGTCAAAAGCTTTGGACAATAGAATGGGACCTATACTGTTGACATCACCTGGGAGCATGTTAGAAATGCAGGCTCTCAGGCCTCACCTCAGATCTACTGAATCCAAATTGGCTTTATAAGGCTCTCAAGTAATTCATGTGTACATTAAGGTTTGGGAAGCACTGATATAGAGGAAAGATCATGGTTTGAATGAAGAGTCACAAATACTGCATGGTTAAATTTGAGTAAATTACTTTTTAAGAAATGACATTTGGAAGGATTACATGGAGTGTTTATGTAAAACAAAATCAACTTATCACAGTGCTTTGAATCCAGGGATATGAGAAATTAGAAAGCCATCCTAAGAAAAGGTCTTTTAAAAAAAAAAAAAAGACATTTAGTAAAAGAATTGAATTAAAAATCAATTCTTGATTTTTATCTAGTATTAGATAAAACATCTAGTATTAGTAATGTCATTAGCTGGCTGGCTGTGCTTAAGCCTTTAACTTACTGGCCTTAGTCTCCACTGTTCCTACCCTATCTCATGATGATTGTGAAGCTCAATTGAGAGTAATATATGCAAAACCATATTCATGTGCAGATGGTCCCAAGCTTACTGTGGTTTGACTTACCAGTTCGACTTTACAGTGGTGCAAAAGTGATATATTCCTTAAAACCATACTTCAAATATTCATCTTGACCTAGACTATGATACAGGTAGTATGATTATCTTGTGATGCTGGGGAGCAGCAGGGAGCTGCATTTCTCAGTAAGCCACATGATCATTAGGGTAGCCAACCTACAATTTGCAGTATATGCAAGTGGAAGTGTTCTGAGCACATTTAAGGAAGGCTAGGCTAAGCCATGGTGTTGGTAGGTTAGGTTGAGTAAATGCATTTTTGATCTATGATATTTCTGACTTGCAATGGGTTTACCAGAATAAGGAAGAGCTATATATTATGCTTTCAATACTTCAGTATCAACTGTCACATGTGGTGGTGGTGAGTCAGCACTGTTGCCTTGGTATTTCATCAACATTAAGATTGGGAATAGTTGCCTTCTGGGGGTAATTAGGACTCATTTATCTTAACTTTGGAAATTGCATCTACCCATCTTTCGCCCCCTTGTTTCTGCTAAGCAATGTTTTGATTTAGTCATAAAAATGTTGATTTTAAAGACATGAGAATGTAAATCCAATTTTTAACAATTTTTGTTTTCTTTTATCAGATACAAAGATGAAAGTGACTATGCCTTACGTTACATGGAGAGTAGTTGGAAAGAGCAGCAGAAGGAAGAAGCAAAGAGGTAAGTGCAAAAGTTAACCTATTTGTACAAAAAAAGTCCTGAAAGTTCTTCAGTGTTTGCTGCTTCAGTCACACCATTGGGAGCAGGGCTTTGGACTAAGTCCTGAGTTCCAATCCTTGCTGAGGGACTTTTAGACAAATTTCTGAGCCTTTCTAAATATGTGTTCTCATTTGTAAAATGTTTTTGCTCATTGAAGTATAGGATTAAGATAATATATGCACAAGTTGCCTAGTGTTGTGTCTCACTGATATAAGCACACAATAAGTAGAGGCTTCCCTGATCCCTTTGCAACATGTTTTTCTTTCCCCATCCTTAATTCCCTTTACATATCACACACATCTCTTTTTTTTACGATTTATTCATACAAGAGCCGGAGTACAGGCCAGAGGTGTGGGGGTTGAAAGGATTCACCAGAGACAGAGTGGGGAGCAGAACAGGTGGATTGACTGAAATACACTGCTGAGGGGAGCAGTGGGCGAGACAGGAGAGGTCTGCTGCACCATGTGGGTCCCCTTCCTGGCTGGGGATCAAACTCATGCTGCAGTAACTGCTGATTGCTCCATAGTGCTGACGTTCAACCCCTTTTGCCAGCAGGGCGGCCCACACACATCTTTTTCTTGTTAACCTGTATCTCTGCTGGTCTCAGGGACCTGGTAAGGGATGTTAAATTCCCTCTGTCTTGTTCCTTTTGGCTACCTGATAACTAATTTCTTGGGTAGTAGAAACAAGTGATCACTTTGTTTATATAGCATTAACTTGGTGAAATAATTCACATGTCAACCCAGAATGTTAAACTCTTAACTCTCTTCTTATTCTCCCATCCTGTAACTAGATAAAATATCAAACTAAAACATTGGGAAGGGACAAGAGAAGAAGGTTATTTGTTGAAAAATGTTTTATTTTTTAAAAGCTGTTAGAAAATAACATTTTATTACTTTGATGGGAATATTAACATAGTTTGTGTTGTGGCTGTATGGGAGGTCCTATTTCTACTATAACTTGAGTCAGTTGCTACAGGTGAAAAATATTCCATCTAGGCTTTTTTCAATAAGGGATTGAGGGACTTTTAGTACACCAGTAAATTCCATGTAAGCTCAAGCTTAAATTTCATTCTGGCTTTTTAAAGAAAATGATTTTGTGTGTATTGAGAACCACAATTTTTTTTTTTTTTTTTGACAGTTTAAGACTGGGTATGCAAGAGGACTTAGAAGAAATGAGACGTGAAGAAGAAGAAATGAAACGCCGAAAGACCAAGAAGCTAAAGAGGCATTAGCTGCTGCTTTTATTTATTTTTGTGAAATTCTAGAGATAATCTATAAGGAAGTCCTGCCTTCTGACTGAAGAAGCCCCTTCATCATTTTAGTTTTCTATTTAGGTACTCAAGGAGAAGGAATGCATACTGTCATTTGCAGGCAATCATTTGAGCATAGAGTATTTGCAAATACTTTCCAGGGTAAAATCTGTAATGCAGATGATAAAATGCCCAGTGAGTGCTCCGATGAAGTTAACTGTTCACAGGTGCCAGCCTTGCTCCTGATGAGCTATGCACTCTGCTGTGGGGCCACTCAGCAGTCAGCCAATCTCTTGTTCCTTTGCTGCTTTAAAAAGGAGAAAAAAAAAAATTGCCCCTTGACTTCCATATTTCTGCTGATGTATGAGTCAGGCACTGTCTGGCTCCAAAACTTATTTTGTCTTTTTATCAGGAACCTGGCCCTTCTGTGAAAGTTGCCAGCAATAAAGTGACCTGTCTTTGGACTGAGAAAATGAAAATGTAGAGTAGAGTTTATAATTAATTATACGGATGGCATCTTTGTGACTTTGAAGTGAAAAGTAGAATAAATTATATTGCATCGTGCATTACTCATGGATTGGATGCTGAGCATTCTTATTCACTAATTTAGGCAATTAGGCAATTAAAAGTTATTCCAAGTTAAGTACAAGTTAACGCTATTTCGTATATTCTTTTTAAAGTTTTCCTTTCAGATTTGTTGTTACGTTGGTTTTTGTGTAAAATAGACAAGGTCACTGTGCTGATTATCAAAAAAAAACCATTTTTGTATTGAAGAAAAAATATTTTATTCAAACATTAGATTTGGAAGATAAATAGCTTAAAAAATAAGTGGCATGTGAGGTTCCCCTCTCCACTCCACTCCTCCCCCATTATAAAGATATTTTGGAATACAAGTTGCCCCTGTATCTCTTGATAGTAATTCCTTTGCATTTTTATCTCGAATTTCTTAGCAATTAATGGCAAATACCAAAAATAAATTATGTGTATCGAGAGCACCACCTTCTCTTTTGCCCATATTGCACTTTTATTTCAAGCTATGCACTGTGAAGAGATTATTTCCCAGATAGAAAAGGATGTTTACCTGTTACTGGTCTTTTACTAGGCTGTGGAACTGTCTTCTTATCCTTAAGTCCTAGCTAATAGATTTGATATCTCTTAAGCGTCAAGTCCAAACAATTCCAATCATACTGACCTTGGTTCTGGCTGGAGAGAAGCCAAGTCTCAAGGAAAGTCAGCTATAGAAAATGATACACGATACTGAAGAGCATTCTCAGTGTGACGGGTTAGGGACAGTGGAACATAAGCTTATAAAACAGCTCTGCAATAAACATCATGGCCATCCTACACCACTGAACAGTCATGATTAGGAAATAGGAGAGGCCTACAAAGAATCCTTAACTCTTCAACAGGTCCAGAAGTTATTTCTTTTTATTCAGTTTTCTGTATTCAGGAAAATCCATAATAGATGGCCACTGTACTGGTAATCCCTAATAGTCATCCCTTAATGGGACAACTACATGACCCAATTCTTTAAGACTGATTCATTTTGAAGTGATTTTCAAATTTTGAATGTAAGATTTTTATTTTGAATCTGACAGGTGTCTCTTCACTACTAATTGAGCACCCTTTCTAAAGCTCCACATAGAACTGACTAGTGGCAGAAAATCAGTCTATTGACTGCCTATCACCCATCTCAAATAGCTTCAGTAAAATTAAGGGTAGTGTGATGTCCCATGTAATAAAGGCTTGGAACATTATTTCCTTTATTGTCACTTACATGCTTTCTTTTCTCTCCCAAATGTTTTTTCTTGGATTTTTAATATTCAGACACATGTCTGTAATCTACAATTGTAAGTGCTTGTCATAGCTGAAAGATTTCTGGAAGCTTAAGGTTTGCTAGCACTTTACTTGATATTGTACAGTTATTTGTACAGAGGCAACCTGTGCTAGATAGACATTCCAGAATTTGGTAGGAAGAGTCAGGTTATGTCTATGTTGTCTATCACTTCTGAGTACATTTCTTCTGTAGTACAGATGTCGATTTTTGTATTATTCAACTCAACATTATAAAAGGGTACTTTGTAACTTTTTCTTTAAAGTTCCGAGTCTTAAATTTATCTTGGCCTTTCTAAATCGTCTTCCATTTTGTTCTGCAATTCCCAATGAGTAAAAAAGCTCACAAGCCTTTGAAGAAACTGGAATAGGCTGTTATTTTATCAAGGTTTACAAATTAAGTGCTTGATTTTTAATGTATCCTCTACTGTTCTGATTTTCAGATTTTATTAATTCAATATTTGAAAATGTGCCTTTTATTGGGTAATGTTAATTCACGAATGTAGTTATGTTATCTCACGATGGTAATGTTATATGATCATGGATGCAGCATTCTCTAACAGATGATGTGAAAGGAAAGTAGTTTTCATAAAAACTCACATGGCTCTGATTGCACAGTCCCACTTGCTTCTGATGTTGCTATGTCAAAGCAAGGGGCACTTTTAAGGCTACTTTCAGAAAATTTGTCTTTGTATTTTCTCTAAAGTATAAATGCAGTTATGTCCATTGGGAGGCCAGGGTTCCACATGTCACAGGCAGCCTTACATGTGTGCCGTGAGAAGATTCAAAGACTGTTAACAAAAAGAAAGTCTATGGGAACTTGGAATTTCATTTTTTTAAATATGATCCCAAGATTTTCTCTAAGAAATAATTAACGGTTTTGTATTTTGTAATTTAAAAGCAGCTATTAGTACTTTTCTGAGATATAGCAGGAGACCAAAACATGTTTAGAAAGAGAATATATGAAGAAAGACTGGTTGTTTTATTTTCAATGTACTGGATATATTAGACTATTTATTTTGTGAGTGGATGTAATGAAATATTCAAGTGTTTAGTGTATAATTAACGAGCGGGAACTAGATTTCTTTGAAGTTATTAAATCCATGTCTTTTTATAGAATGGATAAATCAAGTTAAAAAAATTTAATAGTTTAGCTTGTTTTCTGGTGCTGTTTGACTTGCAAGAGAATCTACTTTTGCATATACAGGTAAAAGTTTTGCAACTTATGTGTAAAAGAAATTGTAGGCATTAAAAATATTTTATTGAATTTTCCACTGATTTGCATTTATTTACCAAAATTCAGATATTCCTTATCTCATCACCTGGAATATTTTTCTAGTTAGAAATCCCAGCATACTCATTAGCCTCAGAAATACGGTTTGCCTCCTTAAACACAGGCCTCTGGTCATTCTCTCTTACACGTTCATGTCTGCTCAGCCCCTGTCATTGATACCTACCCTCTGCCCAACCACCTACTTAGGGTACTGTCCCACCATCACAAAGCCAACTTGTAGAATTGTTTGGAGGTATGCTCTGGGAACCGAGGGAAGTAGAACTGGATATATATTTCCTCTTGTCAGGAAAACTTGAGCAGGTTCTGATTGTCTATATAGAAAAGAGCCTGCCATGGCTGAGGAAGTGAGTCCTTAGGAATATATGTGAGGAAAGTAAGCACAGCCATGCAGTCAAAGGATCCATACACTTAATGTGTTGCATCAAGGTCAAGAAGTATAAGATACTAGTATGCTAGATTCAGAACTTAACCAAGTATTGCTGATGGGTTTTGAATCTACTTTTCTTTGCGTAAAAAGAGGGCAGTCCATTCAGTGCATAGAGTCCCTTAAAAATAGTTCAGCAACCGTGTCAAATAGTCAACAAAATTGACTATATTGCCAAAAGATGTACTTTGCTGGTAGGGTTGCACTTTAGAACAATGGAACTATCAGTCTTCCTGGAGCAGCCACAGAAAGGGAACAGTTCCATATAGCTTGTTTTTAAAGTATTTGCTCTTGTGAGGTTTTCCCCTCTTTTAGAGTCTGAATCTAAAAGCTCCAAACCATTTTTTAAAACGACATATTAGGAATATCCTAGGGCTCAAACCCTGGGTCTTAGATTACCCATCTTGGGTCACATAAACACCTCTCCTTGCATCATACTGAAATTGAACAATTAGGTTTATACACATGTGGCCTATTTTGGCACTCACTCCAAAAAGAATCATCAATGTCTTGGCTGTTCAGGTGAGGAAGACATTTGAGCCAGAAGGCAGTGAAACTCTTGAATATCCATTTGCATTTGACTCGTTTGGCTCCTTTTTTGTGTCATACAAAAGCAGGCAAAGGAGAGGCCTGGATCTCAACTTTGTGCAACCTCGAGTTGTGTGGGTTGCTCAGGCACTAAAGCCTCTCAACTTCACTTTTGCCATTTTGTAAATGAGGATAGTATCTAGCTCAGAAGGCTGTTATAAGGATTAAAATATGTAAAATTTATCTAGTAGCCAATATTGAGAGACTTCCCAAACATGGTGCATGCTTTGGGTTCTTGATAATAGCTGTGAAAAGGATGAAGAGAAATAGCCTCAAAGAATATAATCTTCATGTTGCTGCAATCTACCCATTTATAACATTCTTTCACCAGTGGATCCTGGACCCAGAAACCAGGTAGGATAAAGGCATTACTTGGGAAATGGGTCTAAAGAGCTATAGTTTCTGTCCTTAAGGACACAGAAATCGAGAGCAACTTAAACTAGTTATTTAGTCAAAGATGTCATCTCCCATCCAGCCCTACTACCTACCTCCCCCCCACCTACACTCCATCTCACTGTTTGCTAATAGAATACCAAGTCTTGGAGTTAAAAAGGGCGGAAATTTTTTACATAAAATGACAAATTAATGTGCAATTACTTTATAGGAAACCAACAACAGGAACTGTACAGCTGGGCAGGTGAGCTTCAGAGCTGCATGACTTCACCAGGATCATCTTTGGTTATTTCCACGGGGTCTGGGGAGAAAAAAGTAGGTCAAGCGGGTCTTACCTAGTGTTTGCCAGGTTGTGGGCCTGGGCCAACTGTTCCTTATGAAGGACAGACAGAGGTGGCTGTGTGCCATTCTGTTTGACCCAATGACTCCAACCCCAGCTGCCAGCGGGCTTA